AATCATAAGGCACAGGAGTGTGACAATTGAAGAACATTTCAATAAAAGAGAAGAGGATTTTTTTTATAAGCATCTGTTTTGACAAAATCAGTACCTCAGTTATTGCTGTAACATAGAAATAAAATTCTAATCCATACCGACCTCACAATTAAAATGCCTCAAATATTATGGTGAGGCCTTGGTAAGGCCGCAGCTGGAGTACTGCGTCCAGTTTTGGGCTCCACAATTCAAAAAGGATGTGGAGAAGCTTGAGAGAGTCCAGAGAAGAGCCACACGCATGATCAGAGGTCAGGGAAGCAGACCCTACGATGACAGGCTGAGAGCCCTGGGGCTCTTTAGCCTGGAAAAGTGCAGGCTCAGGGGTGATCTGATGGCCACCTATAAGTTTATCAGGGGTGACCACCAGTATCTAGGGGAACATTTGTTCACCAGAGCGCCCCTAGGGATGACGAGTAGGTTGAACGGTCATAAACTACTACAAGACCATTTCAGGCTGGACATAAGGAAGAAGTTCTTTACTGTCCGAGCCCCCAAGGTCTGGAACAGCCTGCCACCAGAGGTGGTTCAAGCGCCCACACTGAACACCTTCAAGAGCAAACTGGATGCTTCTCTTGCTGGGATCCTATGACCTCAGCTGACTTCCTGCCCTTTGGGCAGGGGGCTGGACTCAATGATCTTCCGAGGTCCCTTCCAGCCCTAATGTCTATGAAATCTATGAAATTATTACTTCTCTTTTTTTGCTCCTTTTCATATTAGGCAGCAATTGGCTACCTTCAGATGAACATTTATTTGTGGCTTGTGTAGGATACCAACAATCATGTACGGTTAAGTCAGTAAGAGTGGTACTGTAAAACAGATGTGGACAGCCCACATCACCATGGGCTAGGAAGTCTGCAAGAAAAACCCAGCAGAGAAGGGAAAATATTTTCTTGCTTTTAAATCTTTGGCAAAGCAGCACAGACTTCAAATGGTTGGTTTCTTGAGCAGCCCTGAGGCTTTGTGGCAATATGCTCTAGTATCAGACAAGCCAACTGGAGTCCTGATATGAAATTATTCCCTCACTGGGGTAGAACATAGAAACAGTATCAGCAAGTTAAGATAGCCCTCAACAAATATGAAAGGTTATATCTAAACTAAGCTTTAAAGAGACTTCTTCAGTTGTCACATAAAAAGCTGGTAAATACACGGCGGTTAGAAGGGAAAAGGAGAAGTCGGGAGTAAAAGTGAGTGTGAAGAGGGAATAGTATTATAAAAGGGAATCCACAAGGTTGCTCCTAGACCAGCTGGAAAAAACTATGGGATAATAGGGTCTCCTCCCTGACTCTCAGTTGTCACAAAAATACAATCAATCATAAAGTAAGTGAATATTGACACTTACTTTAGATTCCAAAATTTCATCTGGTGGCTGAGTGTTTGTTTTTTTTTCTGGTCCTTATATTTTATTCTATTAGCAATCCAAAATTCACATCTGACTTGCTGCATGGCCCTATTTACTGTCAGTTGATTGCTGAGGCAGTGAAAGCTGTATACAGGCACTCCTTACATAACATCATCCCAGTTAATGTTGTTTTGTTATTATGTTGCCGATCTATTAGAGAACTTACTTGTTTAAAGCCGCGTGGTGTTCAGTTATAATGTTGTTTGGCCTCCACCTGCTAGTAGGTAACTACTGTGACATAATCGGATGTGCTTAACATTAAGTGAAGCAACGTCACATTTTTCAAGAACATTAAGCAAGGAGTAGCTGTATTTTAGCCAAGGCTATATAAGATATTTTACCACTACTGCATAGTATCACAGGCAGTATCTTATTCTCTGGAACTCATAATGAACACTAGCTACTTATATAAAGATGCTTTCTCTTCAACTCTTGCTGCTGCTTTCAGCTGTGGAAGAAAGCAGCTATTAAAAGCTCTCCTCTTCCTCCCCTGAGATTAAAATAAAAATGTCCTTACAGCTAATTTCAGTACAAGGGAATTTTAGTTGGGCAGTTTGACCCTTACCAGCAGAGTTCACTGTAGCAGTGAAACAGCAAATACCAACTCTATGGCATGCTTTTTTCAAACATTTAAGAAGCTGTTCATTGTGGCTACACTCATATATTGACCAGCATCTGCAATGCTTGTATTCCAATACCTGGACAGATTGCCTAGCGATTCAGCAAATCACAACAGGAGTTTGGAGCTTCTAAATAAATTATTACTAATTTGAGGTTATTGAAATCCACCACATTAAATAATGAATGCAACACAAAGCCTGAAGTCAGGATTACCCTGCCCAGAAACCACTATCAATTAAAGTAAAATAAACATTATGTTTCTAAATTCATTTCACCAGTAATTGCATCCATTTTATTAAACATTTGTTACAAAAGTGCCTACAACGTCCAATCAAAACTTAGGCTTCACTGTACTACGTGCTCTACAAACATAAAAGTGATGCAGTCATTGCTTAAACTCTATAAGTGACTAGGGCTTGAGGGGAATAGTTTCACTCGTGTGTATGTGTGTGTGTGTGTTGGTGCATACATGTATGCAATCTGCACACCTTTTTGTGCATACTTTCCATGAATCCTGCCAGTGGCTCAATTGTTTATGAAAGTAAATTCTGAAGTTAATTTCAGTATTTTCTGCAAACATCCTTTCATGCCCATCTAATGCATTACTGACAAAATCACAGCTAGAACATAGCTGAAATGCGATGTTCACAATTGGCTCAAAATTAAAATTGGGGGAGGACAACGATCAAGTAAAGAAACATTAACATACATGTTTTCCACATATAGGAAGCTTGGATTAATCAAGGCCAAGTTGCAATTAGGAGAATGCTAAAAAAGCAAAATGTTGTGACATTCAGCAGTTGGATGTCCTCATAAACTTCAGTTATTATTTTGGTGGCTGCTTAATACATAATAAAAGGCAAGATTCCACTCTTGCCTAAAGAAAATGCCACAAACCACTTGCCTCTTTAAAACATTGCATAAGCAATGTTTACCATATTAGGCAGCAAAGAATCTTTTAACTGATCAGATGGAAGCCAGTGGGACAAATAACAGAGGCACACACCAAAAATTACAGCTTTGATGGGTTGGAATTGGTCAGTAGTAGAGGTGCACTGATGCATTGGTCCAATATTGGATCGGCACTGATACAAAGAAAATTGATTGTATTGGAAATCAGCCTGATGTGGCCAATAATTCAGCCAATAAGTGCCCGTGCACGTGTGCATCTGCAGCATAACATGTAGGTGGTGAGGAGCACAGCCTGGCAGCTTGGATAACTGTGCAGCTGGGAAGTCTGTTGTGGAAGGGGAGGGGGGAGGGAAGTGGCATGGCAGGGGTTGATCACCCTCCCCCTGCAGTGAGTGAGGGAGTGGGGCAGGGGCTGGGCCAAGCACAGCCCAGCTGGGGTGGGGTTCAGGAGCCACAGCTTGGAAGGGGGGTTGGTTCCCACCACTCTGCACACCCTGGGGGGGCATGGGGTGTGCCCTTGCATCTGTGTGGGGGTGGGCTGCGCTGGGGTCTTCCCAGTGCATGGGGGCTGCGGGGCCTCACATGGGGCTGTAATTCCGGCACCGGGGGCTGCGTTCAGGGTGGGTGGTGGCAGTGCTGGGAGAGGGGCTACAAGGCAGGGCTGCAGCCATGCTGTAGCTCTCTCGCAGTGCTGGCACAGCCCCAAGCACAGCCCCCATGCACCAGGAACAGCCCCAGTCCACAGTTGCAGCCCACCCTGCCCTGCCCACGCAGATCCAGGGGCACAGCCCCCCCCGCCCCCCACCCCAGTGTCCTGGGGTGTGTGCAATGACGGGAGCTCCCCTCCTGCCCCGCACTTCCTGAATGAGCTGTGGCTCTCTCCTGAGCCCCACTCTGCCCAGCTGAGCAGTGCCAACTGCTGCCCCACTCCCTCCCTCACTGTGGGGGCCTTGATCTGCCCCCCAACATCCCTTCCCCCTCTCCTCCCCTTCCACCACCACAGACTTGCCAGCTGCATGCAGCTGTTTTGGAAATCAGATCGGTATCAGGCGATATGTCTCCTTAAAAATCGACTATCGGTATCAGCCCCCAAAATCTCTATTGGTGCACCCCTAGTCACTAGTGATGCTTTAAAAACTGAATTAAAAAAAAACAAACCTTGGGATAGTGTTCTATTTAAGGAACTGCTTTGTGGTTTCAATTAAGGGGTTTTTTTCCTAGAATTTCTGAATACCAAAGGAATCCTGAATCACTGCAATGTTCAGCTACCTAAACAAGAATCCTAAAGTTTCACAGGGAGGTTCAGTCTGAGCTTAAGTTTTAGCTCATGTAGGTAAGTTTTTCAGTAGTGGATCTGTAAAGGTGTACATACTGTAGATGTATGTTTTGCTTTATAGCTGAAAGGGGAATAAGCTTTGTGAAAAATTAGTGTCTGGCAGCCTATTGTATATGCACAAACTCAATTTAAAATACTTAGACTGCACAACATTAGTATCAAATCCAACTTGAGGGATCCAGTTCTCCCATCCTTACTTCCAGATCCTGTTTTCCCTGAGCACAAGAAGCCAGGAGTAAATATGAAACGCACCTGTAGTAATTTGCATTTAGTACCCACAGACTTAATTCATCCCGAATTGATGTATACTGCCTTTTTTTTTTTTTTAAACCACTACATATTTTAGGACAAGTACACCACAAACACACATTTAAGTAGCACTTTTACACCTGCTTATATATAGTACTAAGTTGGGTTTTTTTAACTTCATGTCAAGGGCCAAATCAGTTCTGAATTCTGTTGGGTGAAGCCCAATAGTCAAGTTCCAAATTTCAACTGAGTTAGAGCTCAGTCATTCAAGTCTGTATGGCTTTACCACTGGGCAAGTATCCTCCCTCCCAGACCCAGCAGTCTCGGGCTTCAGATAGCCCCCAAATCCATGGAAGGTATCCTATATGCAAGCCCCAAGCCTGGAGGCTTTGGGGTTCAGATGCCCTTTAGTTTTGCTCCTTGCCAGAAGGCTGAGGAGCAAGCCAGGGGTGGAATGTAAATGCAGTCCCCCGTTGCCACAAAATTGTCCAATTCAGTTTCCCCAAATGTGGGAAACTCACAGGGGTCATCCTGCCCAAAGTGTAAGGGACAGGCCTCACCTTGGGAAAACCACCTTCATGATCGTGCAATCTTCTCTGCTAGGTGTATTAGTCCAAAGCCAAAAAGTTCATGATTTACCATATAGTGCATTGGGCTGTGTCCCAAAAGAGTCAGCAGCACTTCAGGCCATGGTGACTCGACAGCTCAGCCTGTGTATGTGCTCCATATACTTTCCACAAAGGATCCAGGTGCTAATTAGCACCCCACTCATGACTGGAACTAGGTGTTCTTTTCATGAGTCCTGGGATCCTTCAAAAATTCATATGCAGATATGTCGCAGGGCAACCTGGTCCAGTTTCACCTTATGGAGGGTGGGGCTACACTAATACACTAATATGTGACAGGCTGAGAGAGTGTGGCACCCATGCCAAGGGGGGCAGTGGGAGCACGGAGCTCTGGTGGGCAGGTGTGGGTGTGAGGGATTGTGGCAGGGTGTGGAGACCTCCCACAACACCCCCCCCCTCCATGGCACAGCCCTTGCCGGCAACAGCTGGAGCACCAGCAGGCAGCAGGCGCTTGTGCCCCACACAGGTGCTGGCTCCCAGTGACGTGCAGCTTCAGCAGGCACTGCGCATGGGGGTGAAGAGCACTTCCTGGCTGGGCTGCCTCTTGGGGGTGCTCTGTGTGGTGCATGTACAGCTTTTGCACTCACGTAGCACTGGGGGAAGCAATAGGCTGGAAGGTGGGCAGACAGAAGTTACAGAAAACACTGTTTTGAAATGTTTTCATCTGACCCCTCAAGCAATGAGGGTTCAGATTTTCATCTGATTGGCCATTTTTTAAACTGTCTGTAGCCATGCACTTGTTTGGTCATGGCTATGGACCGACTTCTGGCCAGATCTGGCAAAAATTGTCACTTCTGTCTGCGCCCTTGAAGCTTCAGTTCCTGTAGTCAGTCTTTAAAGTACCATAAAAAAAATTGACAACTTGAAGTGCTATATAGACTAATCAGTTGTGATAAGATCCATATACTTTCCTATATAAGTTATTTGCTTCTCCCTATGCTATATGTTGACCTCACATTTTCATTGACTTCATTTAGTGTTTTAAAAAAATTGCATATCTTTCTTTGAGAACTGCAAAATAAAATTAATTTACAAAGTGTACTGTACTTAGGTTTCTTTCTCCTTTCTTTGACCCAGTCTATACTAGAAAAATGTGCCCGTTTAAATATTTCAAGTGGATTTACTTCTTTAAATAGATTTACTTAAATTGGTATGAAACACAAAGTACTACACACTTAAATTGCATTGCCTTATTTGAGTTGATAGCACCCTAACTTTGGTATATCTTAATTAGGGGCTTGTCTGGGTTAAAATCTGATTGATTTTAAAACCATACTTAAGTAAAGAGGTACATTTTTAGTATAGGCAAAGACCTTCCCTCTAAGTCCTGCACTGCTTTTAAGACCAAAGTGCAAGCCAGCTACAAGAACTTGAACTCTGATTTGTTCATTCATAATTTTCTAACATTCTTTTTAAAGGTAGCATTTTCCCCTTCTCTTTAATATAAAGGATGCCCCTAACTTACGTGCAGGCCGGGAGCGGTCCGAGGCTTTCGGGGGCGCGTGGCGGGCTGTGGCCAGCAGCCCTGGCACGTGGGTCGGGGAATTCGGCACGGCGGACTAGAATTCGGCATGGACGCGTAAAGGTTGATTAAAGATTATTTTACTTACACCGTAGATGGTCGCGGTGTAGGCAGGAAAACTTGCTTGCGTTGCAGTTACAGATACAAAAGAAGAAGAGCGGACAAGAGTTCTAACTGCGAACTCTGGTCCAAGGCCGGCTGAGAGCTCTAGAACCGCGAGCCTGTCGAATCAACCGGACGAAATAACCCGAGAAGAGCTCTGGATACCACGATGAGAGTCCGAAAGGTGACTCTCCACGAAAGCGCGCAGGGAAGGGTACGTCGAGGGATCAGGCGGCGACGGGGAGAGGCTAGAGGTTGATCAGGCCCCTGTATCCTTCTTAAGGCACATGCTGGGTTCGTTAAGCTCCACAGCACGCTTAGAGTTCTTCACGAGATGTGAAGTCCTCCTTCTCCTCCTCCAACTTGGGCGGAAACTGCTCAAGCCTCTTATACGGCTAGCAAGCCAATCGCTAGCCGCCACGTGGGAATAATTTAGAAACAGCCAATAGTGGGACACAAATTTGCATGCGAATGGCGGGAACTCCTTTGCACCGGGGTTTTCTCTATGCAACTGAGAATTGCACCGTGCAAAGAAAGCTCCATGTGGCAGGAAATAATTCTGCAGTGCCGAAGCGCACACAAAATCATACCCTTTGGGTCATGACAACATACTGTAGTTTGTTTAAGTTAAGAACAAGAGAACTTAAAAACATTTTCTTTTCTGCCATGGCAGGCACAGGCTTATGCTTCTGTTTTATGCAACTAATGCTAAAAAGAAAGTCCAAGATAATTATGGTCCATTTTTTCCATTACCACACACTTGCTATATGTAAAGTGTCTGTAGCTCCATGCTTTACAAAGAATACCTTTGTTATGGCAGAACAATTCTATTTGATAGAATAGAGCAGTAAGAAGACAGAATCTCTGCCAAACTTTTAAAATTGCCTACATAAAATGCAACAGCCTGGATGAAGTGTTAAACATGCTTTATTTATCACAAACACATGTGAACTTTATTTCTTTTTCTGCACATTATGCAATGTTAGAATATCTTTTAATACTATACAGGGGGGTACTGCAGTCAGCAGGATAAAAACACTAGGCTGGGCACTTAGAGTTCTACTTTTGATGCAACTACTGGTTTGCTGTGTGATCTTAGGTAAGTCATTACATTTGCCTGTGCCCCAATTTTCTCATTGGTAAAATTGGGTGATGGCCCCTCCTTTGTAAAGTGCTTTGAGACATACAAATGAAATATGCTCTATAAAAGCTAGGTATTATTGTATCTTTTATACTTAAGGAAAAATGAATCATATATTGCAGTTTGCCCAAACTTTTGATTAGAGGCAATGTTGCTGCTCATGCCATACTATTCTGTGAAGAAATTATTTAATTTAAGAGGAAAAAATGTAAGGAGAGATTAAATTCAAACAGTAGTTTATAAATATAGATGATTATTGCAGGGCACTAACATGTGCCTGCTTCTTCAAGAACAGAGTCAGTTTAGCTAGGGAGGCCTGAGAACTATGCAGGGCTCCAAAGCTGCAGGTTGCCTTGGCAGTAAGTTAATCACAGCATTAGCTGTCACCTGCTGGTCAGCTGACCGGAAGGAAGCAGGACCCTGGGCATATATAAGCCCCAGGGCTGGGCTGGCAGGAGGTTAGTTCTTGGTCAGCAGCCAGGGGGAAGGAGCTGTTGCAGAAACACAACTCAGAGCTGCTTGGTTACCTATTTGGCTGCTGGTAAGACTAAAGGGCTCTAGAAGCTCCTAAAGTATCTGGAGCTAGGAGGCGCACATTGTTGAGGGAGAATCTAACCTCCTTAAAGGGGCAGGGTATGACCTGCAAGGTGATTGTTGTTGTTATGTTATAGCCCAGGGGCTTGTATTAATGTTGTTATTTGGATCCGCTGGACCGGACTGAGGCTGTTGGGGGAGAGGAGACCTCGTTGGGGGGCACAATACAGTGTCGACAGCCCAGTGTGCCAGAGAGGGTGCGCAGATGGGCCGAGGGCCCAGTCACGACAGGAGGCCGAGCTAGATCAAAGCCTCAGAGGTACAATGTTTGAATACTACCTATGAGGCATGGGGTGGGGTAAAGGGGCGGTTTTGGAGCCACGCATCTAGCCTATAAGGCTTAGTGTCTCAAGAGGCACCGACTTTGAGTGAGACCCAGTAAGGGGTCCAACATCAGCAGGATCTAATGGGGTTCAACAGGACTGTGACCACACAGACTTGTGCCAGCCTCCCAACTTATTATTTCAACCAACAAGACATGACAGGTGAGATAAGAAGGCGCCCGCAGGGCAGAGCACGCACGGTCATGGAGCCCTAGGGTCATCACAACCATCCCTGGGGACCCCACGCCGTGACAGTGATGTCCATACTCTTTGGGATGACCATTTTTATAGCCCTCAGAATTGCATCCTGGAAGTCACAGATTAAATTATTCTGGTGCTAACAGCACTGGGAGTGTGCATGATTTGTCTCTTCTTTTTTTAATTGTTTTGGGTCCAGGCAGAATTGATGAAATAACTAAAATAATGTAAAGAGCTGTTGCAACAGAAAAAACATACAAGAGGCTTTACAAAATCCTGCTTCAAACATTATTTAAGAAAATAAACATATTCTTCATTCAGAAATCTCAAACCCATGCCTGTCTCTATCCTCAAGGATATGTTTGTCCATGTTAGTGGCCTCACCAAACAAAAGAAAGAGGGCGCTCACACTGGAGATGTTATACAGGATTCAAAGAAACCTTCCTTATTTAATATAGTTCTCCACATTAAATATTCTTTTGAATTGGAGCCTAAATGCATACTAAAGCTTTAAGGCTGATAACAGTCCTAACAATTAGATGTCTTTTTGAATTGGAGCTTTAGAGCAGTGGGTTTAGAGTAAGATTTGCAGTGTCAGGCCAGATAAACTGGACTTAGGTCTGAGATGGGCTGGTGCTTCTGACCTGGTTTCTACCACTTCCACCACTTCTCCCAGCCACCGACTGGCTACACAACCACACGGCATGGGTAAAGCCTCTCCCCCTCCCCCCACATTGTACAATGAGAGAGGAAGGCAGTGTGGCTGTTGCCCACACTGATTGCTAGGCAAGAGGGACAAATGGCAGCAGTGGTCAGAAACTCCATAGGTCTGATCTAAAAGCTCTATAGGCTAGATTCAGCTCGCAGGCCATATGTTGCTGACCCTTGCTTTACAGTTTATCAGCTGGGTTGGGGCTGTACTCGGCCTTCATGAAGCTGCAGCTGGAGTATGTATCCAATTCTGGGCACAGCTGGCGTACTGCATCCAATTCTGGTGAGACCGCAGCTGGAGCAGACTCCCTCCAGAGGTAGTACAGACCTGGAATAGACTTCCTCCAGAGGTGGTGCAGGCACCTACTATGGACTCATTCAAGAAGCGTTTGGATACTTATCTTGCTGAGATCCTTTTGTCATGACCCAATGATTGTGTGCCCGCTTCGGCACTGCAGAATTATTTCCCACCACATGGAGCTTTCTTTGCATGGTGCAATTCTCAGCTGCAGAGAGAAAACCCCGGTGCAAAGGAGTTCCCGCCACCCGTATGTAAATTTGTTTCCCACTATTGGCTGTTTCTAAATTATTCCCACATGGTGGCTAGCGATTGGCTTGCTAGTTGTATAAGAGGTTTGAGCAGTTTCCGTCCAAGTTGTAGAGGACTCCACAACCATCTCGTGGGGACTCTGAGCACGCGGCAGAGTAATAGAAACTTTGTGTGTGTCTCAGAGGAGTTCGGCGGCCTGATCAACCACCAATCTCTTCCCGTCTCGTTCGTTGAATTCTTAAGACGTATCTACGGTTTTGTGCGCTCGTCAAGGGTATCCAGAGCTCTGTTGTGTTTGTTTTTGCGGAGCCTAGCAAACTCCGTGCGTGTGTCTTCAGTGGAGCCTAGCAAACTCCACTTGTGTTTGTCTGTAACTGCAACTCAAGAAAGTTTTTCCTGCCTGCACCGTGACCACCTACAGTGTAAGTAAAACAATCTTTAATAAACCGCTATGAGTCTGTGTCTAATTCTAGTCCGTCGTGCAAAAGTACCCGCCCTACCGTTGCGGGCTCCCGGCCACAGCCCGCCGCGTGCCCCCGAAAGCCTCGGACCGCTCCTGGCCCGCACACCTTTGACCCCAGCTGACTTCCTACCCCTGGGGCGGGGGTCTGGACTTGATGATCTTTAAGGTCCCTTCATCTATGAGGTCCCTTCGTCTATAATGTCTATGAAATCTATGAAGAAGAGATCGCATTTTCTTTTGGAACTCAGTTCTCTCGCTAAAAGTCTTGTTGGCTTGATCCTTTACATTATGTAGGACCATTACTGTGCTCTTGCCCTTTATTAGATCCGCAGATAGTCTGTGGTGCCATTCTGGGATTAAAGAGAAATTTTTTAGTTTCATTATCATAGAATCATGGAGTTATGAAGGACTTCAAGAGCCATCTAAGCAGTCTTCCCCCATTATTTGTCCATAGTATTACTTAACTCTGAAAACTTAAATTTTCATAACTAGGTATAACCCACCCCTCCAGCTATGTAACACAGTAAATTCGAATCATGCAGAGTCACTAAAGTGTCAATGACAGCTCTAGAAAACAAATATATGCTATTTTTATTAATATTTTTCTTAGCAGTTCTACCTTTCCTTGCATATATGCAGATTTATGTGTAAAAATGCTTATACAGTGCGTTTTCTCTTTTAGAATTAGGAAGCTAAGTGCATAGGATAAGATCCCGAGTATATCCAAAAGACTGCCTTTTCCTACCTGATAGAAATCACCAGCTTGACGCACATATCCAGCTACCGCCTTATCTTGGGGATGGATCTTCCATACAAGTCTTTCAGCATTTTTGTAGTCTTCCACTTTGCTCCATGGCACAGTAGGCAGAAAGCGCTCTGTTAATGGAGCTGCTACTATAATGTCCAGCAATGTATAGCAATACCTGGGAAAAGACAAAGGAGACGGCACAGAATATTTGAGAAGCTTTAAAGTTCAAGTAACAAAGTTTAGATCTTCAGTATTCCAGATTCTGTGCATTTGAAAGTAACAGAGCTTGGTGATTTACACTAGAGGGTCTATCAGCCCAGAATCTCAAACATGCAAAGAATATTTAAAGTATCTTTGTTCCCAGGACCAAAACCAGTGTTGTGCATCCTAGAGGTACAGTACAGACTTTCAGTTTTTCTAGTTTGTAAGATCAAGAGCCAATGCCAACATTTTATTTTTCATTCTATGGCCAAACTAGCATCAAAAGACACAAGAAATCCAGCTATTGCAAGTTTACCATTACTTTCCCTGTAAACTCCCATTAGCTTCCATGAGGAGATCAAAAACAAAAGCTCAGTTCCTTAAGAAATCATGCTACTAGCATGTTTTCTTGGGGGTGAGGGTTCGTTATGACTCATGTAAGCGATAAGTCCTTTTTTCTATTTTTATGACTAATTCTCAGTGCAAAAATTCAGGCATAAGTAAAGCAGTCTTTCTAATGCAGCCACAGGTTAAACAAAATATTAAGCTATTCTCACTCAATAGTTGCAGAAGTGTAACAGCCAGGACTCCAGTAAAAATCTTACCAACCATCATTACTCATGTCTGTGGAAGCAACAAAGTAGCAAGGATGACTTTGACTTAGATGTATATAGGCAAAAAAGATACAGGATAAAGGTGGGAGCACCAATATCCACAAAGAAACATATGATGTAGGCCACTGGGTCTCTTCCAACACTCTCCCTCATGTAAGGAAGTATAGGAGAGAGGATGAGGTTGTTTATTTTTTACTTGTGAATGGGCCGGAGTAAAGAAATGATTGAATCCTCAAATTAAGCATGCAAGTTACTTTAGAAACATAAGGAAGTATCTTATCACATTAAAAAAAAAGTTCTTCACTCCCGTCAAAGGTTATATACAAATCCCATACTTAAGAAGTACTCATATTTTGTATCAAAATAAAGATCCAGAAAGTAAGGATAAGGATAAAAGTCATTACTGGTAAGGGTCATACTGGTAAGGATAAAAGTCAGGGTAGAGACTTAAGTATGTCTAGAATATGAACACATGTCCTTTATGCTATTTTAAAATGTGAATTATTAAACATTCTAAGGAGACTAAAAACCTCCTAAAAGACTCATCCAAGCTAGTTCAGTTAAATAATTGCATTGTTTAAATGAAGGAGCTATGCTAAAAAGCCTCAGAAAAGAAATCTGCAGCTGTTATAGTCAACAGTATGGGAACAATTATATCTGTGTTATGCTCTAGTGTACAGGCTAGAATACAGAACAGTATTATACAGTCACGATTGTGCTTTTGTAACTCTTAAGACTTTTCCTGGAATTTTTTTTAAACACTTAAGTCACCTAAGTCTAAATTGTCATTAAGTACTGCTGCTGCTTGTTACTATAAAGTCATTTACTGGGTCAGATGCATTTATTACAAGTTATAAAAATTTTACCACCTACAGAGATAATCCAGCAAATAGATTCCAATGTAATCCTAAAACTAACTACAAATCACTCTCTAGAATGACATTTCTCAATCAATATATCATCATCCTGGTCAAGAATTACTGTTCATAAGAAATAATCTGACACACCAGAATTATCACTCCTGTATTCTCAGAAAGGAACATTACATATAATATTTTTTCCAAGAAAATGCACAGTGCATCTTCAATATCCTTGTGGAAAACAGAGCTGTGGGCATGCATCCTAGGTTATAAAGTAATACAGTATATGATGGACCAATTAAATTCAGCAAATAATAAGCACTCTTCTCTATCATAAATGCTATTTTATTAATAGCTGTATCATCAGTTTACCATGCTTTACATTTTCAGAAAGTCATTTTCTTTCTTCTGTTTTCCCCTTATTTATAGGAATGTGTGTCATTGATTATTATTTCTGCCAGTGTTTTGGTCCCTATTATACAAACATGCCTTAGGCTACATATTTAGGTATAGTACTGAACCTCAGAAACTCCATCAGCTTCCCAAGTAACAACCATTAAAATGTCTTCTGAATGTCTTGAGATATGCCAGATCCAACATTATGGCCAGGCCCCGTGTCAGCCATACAATACTTCTTATATCCGCAACCATCTATGGCAAACAGCCCCTATTGAGGAAGTCAGCTTGCCTCTTCGTAGAGCTTTGAGAGTCCATTAGTGCAATTCATGTGCAGACCAGCTCTGAGGCAGGTTGGCAACAAGACAGATTCTAAGTAATGATGCTTGTATTAAAGATATTCTGTCTTCCACACTTAGCAGAAATAACGTTTGATTGAATACATGTATAAATGCACTCTGATGCCAGGTATTTAATTTTAAATAAATTTAAGAGTTGGCTAACTGAAACAAGACAGATTTATTCCAGACTTTCATGGTAGAAACCAGAAAAGAGAGTTATCCTTTCTTTACAAAGGGAAAATGTTAGGACTTGCTCTTGGGGAGTTTTTTCCCAAAAATGTTGTGAGGGGGAGAGCTAGCATTTGTCCCTATCCCAGGAGAATGAGCAGTAACATGGCCTCATAACTGCTGAGGATCTAGTGTCACAAGATTTGTGGGGGGGTTTCTTCCTCCTCTGTTTAAAAAAAAAAAAAAAATGTTCCCTAGCCTCCAGGGTTGCAGAGTAATGTTTATGCAAAACTAAAGGCACAGACTTCAAGAGGCATACAACAAGAATGCAAATTGTTTTTATGTTTTTGCTTGTTTTAAGAAAGTCTCCTAATTTCCGAGCTAAATTTCCTGATATTTGGGATCTACCTCATGATTTCCAAATGATCAATGGCACATGTGAGATGGCCTCAGGGAGACAAAGGAGGCTAGAACTATCAAGTTCTGTATTAACTTTGCACAGGGTTCTCCATAAAGGGACTGGGGAAAAGGAAAACTTTGCCAGGACATTATTTATTTACTTTTAATATAAGCTTGATGGGAAAATAAAATTTGTGGTTTGAAGGATTTGTTATCTCAGCATTTCAGACAGTTCTCTAACTACACTTGTGCATTTCAGACCATTCTCTGACTACAATATTGGGTATACAGTTAAGTTTTCCATTTGGATTCATTAAATAATGTACCTATAGTAAAAAAGCAAACCTTTGGGGTCACAGAAAAATTGCAGAAAATGTAACCTGTACTTTAGAGGAGATCAGTCTGTATATGAAACAAATGTGCAGCAGAAAGTTTAAACTTGAGACTTACTAGAATAAACAAACAGCTCTGGAGACTGACCACAAGACATGTTTCGTCTCCATTCTAAATGTGGTTAACAATAGAAAATTGTTACTTTCTCCCAGATCTAATTTTTGACTTGAGAAAACAGGTAAATGATAATACCATGAAAATAAGTCACATCTTCCTAAATATTCCTACTTACATAATTACACAAACAGATTAAAGTTGTTTCGGACCCCCCCTGTTTTAAAAGGGAGAGAAAGTTGTATTTGGCAATCTTATTTCTTCTGCATTTTTAATTAGTTATATTATTGTAACTGTGATCACTTACAGGACATAGTACTTTGCAGACAAGCTAATGCTCCTTTCCCAAAGATCTAGTGACCTTAATCTCTAATATTTTGTGGTTTCCTGTTTGAGGAAATGATTGAACAGCAGCCTAAGTTGTTTAAGGCTGCAGAGTAACCACAGTTGACTGCTCTCTTATCTCCATTTTGAACACTGACTAAATGTGACACACTGATTTACACCCCAAGAGCTGGTAAGATAATGAAACATCGGTAAGGAAGTGCTGGATATTTCTTCATTTTCCTGCCTGAGTTTCTAGATAATTTGGAAAAAGCTTATGGCCATTCTAAAACAGTCATTTTGGCTTTGTGCAGTTTGCTGCATTATGGTTTTTTGCCTTCATGCAATTCATAGTGCAAACAGGCTTCCAGAAATCTTCCCTTAGTTTATTAAAGCTAAACTAGATACCAAGAGTATGATTCACATCTTGAAAGCCAATGTGAAGTGCAGTAAAGACAAAATGTGTTTAGAGGAGTTGGATTTTAAATCTAGTGTTTTGGCTGATTAGACAGAAATACAAAAACAATGCCATTTACTGTATGTATCTTTTATTTGCTCAGGCAGTAGCTGTGCTGAAGTTGAAGCAGATGCACAGTGCACTAAGTTATGATATCCAGGAGACCTCAATCATTATAATATATACTGACTATGTTGCTGTAGGAAATTACTGCTAAATTCATTTAGTCACTTGCAATGCTTTTTGTTTACAGGAGTATTGTGTTTTGTTTTATGATATATTAAAAATAGTAAGAAGAGCCCAAAGAGGTGAGCAGTCTCATAGATTCAAGACTTTTCTGTATGTGCATATCAGATTAAAGTACAGAATTGTAAATGCTTTCTTTAGGTTCTTAAACAGTAATGTTGCAATATACAGTCCTAAGGAGAACTGATGTTGTATGTTTTGAGACATCCGCTGTGTTTCCCAGTGCTTTCAGAACAAGAGTTCTGTATGACACATAGCACAGATACTACCCAGTACTTTCAGGGTTACCTCCTCCTTCCTCTGAAAAGAATCTCTTTATTTTAATCCCTTGCAGATTTTGGTCCCTTTCATTACCAAGAATGAGGAAGATAGAAGTGATACTATTCACTCAATTCTCAGACAGTACATTATTTTAAAATTACATTAAGATACTACTGAAGGAATACTGCAGAAATTTATCCAGATTTGGGTTCAGAAATGTACTTCGTGTTCATACTTTTGTGCTAATTTTTACCAAACTATTCTGCCAAGAGAGTATAAGGGTAGGAATATTTTCTGAAACTAAAATTGATACGACTATTTCAGAATATTAATGGAAGGGAGCACATCCAATGTTTAATTATGAATAATCTTCTTACTGCAATTTTTAGATGTTTGTTTTAAGTGAGGGTATGGATTAGGTTTGTTTGAATAGGAAAGTATTCGATTCAGATTCGGCCGAGTCAGAGGACAGTGATTCAATTCGGTGATTCAAATCACTGTC